ACTTTAAACTCAGGAATTTGAATAATAGGGATTCCCACTTCCTTTACCACTCTGGGAGATAGGAAATTGTGAGTGGCCCCACAATCTATAAGGATTACTATCTCCTTACTTCCTCTGAGTCCCTGCACTTCTCCCTTGACCTTGAAAGTCCTGGGAGTGGTCATGCCCTCTTTGCTCATCAATGACAGCTGCATGGTTGAAGGTTCAGGTCCTTCCTCTTCAGGTATGGGTGCCAAATAATTGTCTCCTGCCTCCTCTTCCCCCTCAGAATCATCTATCATCACAATTTGGAAATGCTTCATCTTACAGATGTGTCCCTTGCCCCAAGTCTCCCCACATTTGAAACAAAGGCCTTTTCTGCTTAATTCCTGAAGCTCAGCTTGAGATAGCCTGTGAGTGCCTCTTACTCCCACTCCACTGTTTCCAGTCTCATTTTTCTTTTCTGCATGATATTTCTCAAACCCTGGTTGACTGGTCACTGTACTCTTCCATTTGCTCTCACTCAACCACCTTTGAGGTGGATTGGTAACAGTCCCCTTGTTTCCTCTCCTATCATCTTCCCTGTGCCTGCTGGAACAGAGGATAACATTACTCTCTTCTACCCTCGAAGCCTTATTCATGACTTCTGTCAGTGTTCTAACAGGATTCTTCTTCAATTCAGGTTTAACCTCAGGCTTCAATCCTTTCATAAAAATCCCCTTAAGCATTTGCACGTCAGTGTTTTTCAAAGGTGCTGACACCAATTCAAACTCATCTCTGTACTCCATCACACTTCCAGTCTGCCTGAGATTTAATAATGGACCATATGGATCCTGATCCAATCCTGGTTCAAATCTCTCCAACAGAGCCCCTTTAAACAATTCCCAGGTTCTAATATTCGAGTGCTCCTCCCACCAGTGATACCAGTTTAAAGCCCTTCCCTCCATGGCCAGAGTTACTAGATCAACCTTCTCCTCCTCATCAATTTGATTCAATTTAAAAAAACGCTCCACCTTAATAGTCCAACCATATGCATCAGTGCCATTAAATAACGGTAAATCAACTTTTCTTCCAGATTTCTCCATCCAACTACGTCGGTTATCAATCGGTTTGAAGGAAGGGGATCGATGACTACCTGAGATTGAACGTGAGTCACTGCTTCCATGTCTAGTACTCGCCTTAGAGTGCGATGATCGTTCGCGGGAATGATGGCGATGTTTATGTCTCAGCAGCTCGCGAATGTCATCGAGGTCATTTTTGACTTCCTCGTTCCTCCTCCTGGCTTCCTCGCGAGCCTCCTCATCCCTTAGCCTGGCCTCTTCGCGGTGCCTTGCCAGCTCGCGCTCAATCTCTGCAGATTGTCGCGCCAATTCCCGCTCCAAGTTTTCCACTCGGTCATTCATTTTTCTTCTCGCCGCCACCATAAACAGGTCCTCTGATCGTCAGCTCTGATACCAATGATAGGGAATCAGACCTACGAACAATAATCTAGCAGCAGAATTGGAGAAAAAGGGACAATGAACAGTAATGGAGGAAGATCGTATAACAAACAAGAGAGAGAAATAGTGTCTGGCAGTTTTAAGAGATGCCTCTCTCCAAGTCCCAGCCCAATACAAGCCAATACCAGCCTGCCAATTATTACAAGGACCTAGCTATTTATAGTCATATTCCCCCCATATGATAACTAGTAACATATAGCTACTTATTATGACCCTTATTCCTCCTTGAGTATACATGATCAAAATACTTAATATTATTATCAAAATAGGACTGACTCCCAGCATCCCTATCAGAATCAACCTGATTCTCAATCCTAAATGCAATTATTAAATTTAGGGTGGGGCCTTGTGTTTTTATTCCTGTGCTGTTGAGGGCATAATAAAACTTTGTAGTAATAAAACTCACTAAACTGTATTCCCTATTAACTTTCTAATTCCTGTGCAATTATTAAAACTTCGTAGTAATAAAATAAAGAGTTGGAAAGAAACAACCTTATTCTCAATCCTAAATCTGAACTACTGTTGAACTATGCCTTCTATCTTCCTCGTCCTCTGCTGTTCTCCCTATGCATTGTGAACTGCGCTGGCTGTCTGGTTGCTTGACTGTCTAATCAAGATGTAATCGGAATTAAATGAAGGCCAGAAGATACCATTTGTCAAATAATGTAAAGATGCACAGTTTATGACAGTTTGTAGGTTAGCATGGCAGGATTAGTTTGTATATGATCTCACCCCTATATATATAGGAATAATGATACTCAGTAGAGAGTGCTCAGAAAATGGTAAAATTATCTCAAGTTTACTTCAACTAGTTTCTCACACGTGCGATGCACGGGGTGTGAGTTTTTATAAAATAAAAAAAAGTGAAAATGATATTCCCTTCGTCCATAATTTATTCATATTTTGATTTGGCACCCAAATAGTAAAAAAGTGGAATTTGTGTGACCTAAATTATGGAGAGAAAATAAAAATGTTATGAATCATATATTCTTTGTCATAAATGAAAGAAATAGTATACATTGGGATAGACAAAAAGAAAATATTGAAGTACAAAAAGTAAAATGTTATGAGGGAGACATGATATCATCATAAGAATTAAAATGTAATAGTAATCTACCCATACCTTGCACATAAGGAATACAAGTATATCCTAAAAATTTTAAATTTGTGTCATAATGAAAAAAAAGAAAACATCGAAACAATTTAATTCAATGGTAGCGATGAAACATAATAATGATAGTGAAAAATTAATGTTACACAATAATGGAAGTGCAATATGAAAAAATATGTAAAGGAAGTGAAAGATGATAAAGATTATACGAAGTATAACCAAATTAGATATCTTGATATATAACTTTCGGCCAAAGGTATACATTTTATCTTTAATTCATCATTTCATTTTCATTTACCTCAGTGCTGCAAAGGCTCCCACCTATGGTGGGGTAAGGGAGGATCAGATGTACGCAGTCTTACTCTTGTACTAAGCACAGAGAGACTGTTTCCGGATGACCCATAGTGAAAATCGTGTCCAAAATTGCATCGACTGACTGCTACTTCATAACAAAGAAGCGCAGACAGCTTAGTGAGCCATTTTGCTTTATTCCATCATAATCTCAAGCCAAAAAATAATGAATCTTTGGCTCCATTGCAAATGATGGAAAAGATAAAAAATTAAAATTTAACAATTTTTCTTAAAAAATTGATATCCTGCAATTTGATCTTATTATTTTTAAAAACTTAAAATTTAACAAATTTTCCTAAAAAAAATTGAACAAATTTACTCCTAATATTATCGAAAGTGCAGAATGTTTAGATAGGTTAGTACAACTTTCATATAAAACGTACTCCCTCCGTCCCATAATTTACTTCCAACTTTCCTTTTTCGTCTGTCCCAAAAAGAACCTCCCTTTCCCTTTTTGGCAAAGAATTTGTGGTTCACAACAATTCTTACACATTCTTACACATTTCTCTCTCCTCTTCACAACTTTCCACCACATAATTCCCACTTTCTTAATCCGTGTGCCATTTGTACTATGGAAGTAAATTCTGGGACGGAGGGAGTATTTCCTGTAAAATCATACGTACATAACGGCAACACACGCTCCAAGTTACACCTGTATAATCACAAAATTATTTTTAAATTGTGAGTATGTCTATAACTTTAGTGATTCAAGTCTTCAGTTCTTAACATAACACAAATTTATTATTTTAAGTTTTTGGATTTTATTAAAGATTTGTCTCGAATTGAAATATGTTTTTTATAATATATCTTATTTACCGAACAAAGTTTTTTTTTTAATTGAAGCCTTATTTTTATTATAATATAATCGTATTACTTTTTATTTCCATTATTTGCAATGGAGCCAAAGATTCATTATTTTTTGGCTTGAGATTATGATGGAGTAAAGCAAAATGGCTCACTAAACTGTCTGCGCTTCTTTTGTTATGAAGCAGCTGTCAGTCCATGCAATTTTGGACGAGATTTTCACTATGGGTCATCCGGAAACAGTCTCTCTGTACTTTAGTACAAGAGTAAGACTGCGTACATCCAACCCGCCTTACCCCACCGTAGGTGGGAGCCTTTGCGGCACTAGGGTAAATGAAAATGAATACTCGTATTATTTTTTGTGACTTTTTATGAATAATTGTGATTTAAAAAGTAAAACATTATGATGTAAAATAAAGAAATTTGGAGTTTAATTATGTTGTTGCTAGTTCAGACACATTTTAAAAGACTAACTAAAATATGTAAACAAATATTTTAATAATGAGATCTTCACTTTAGCAGTGTGATCAATTTAAGAAAAAAATTGAATCTAAAAATTTCTAGCAATTGAAACTTTAATTTTTTTTTATTCAAATTTATATATCCTATACTGGTGTCATATGAAAGATCATAAAAATTTATGAAATTTGATATATTTTGTATAAAAATGGAGAACCAATTTTAAAGTTATAATACTTTAAAGAGAATAGATTTTTTATTTTGGCTGGCTCCACATCACCTTCTTCCTCCGCCCAGCAGCTTTTGATTTGTTCCGAGTTCCGTCTGTTTGCAATAATGACGATGGCCCGTGTAGTAGTAGACAACCGTTTGCCCGACCCATATTTAACATATTTTTGGGTGGGAATACTGTTCACCTTTCCACTTTGCTTTTTACATAGCAAGATGGTAAAAGAGGGAGAATGAGATGATATAGGGTAAAGTGATTTTACCATTTCGTGATCCCTTCTATAATATTCTTCACATATTAAGTACTCTCTCTGTCCCGCTAATATTGTCTCATTTATCTTTTCGAGAAATCCCATTAAAATTGTCACATACCAAATATGATAAAGTTTGTGCGGCTCTAAATCATTCTTATTTTATTCTTACTTTATCAATTAATATCAGCATAAACCCACTTTTCGCCCAATATTAGTGGGAGGGAGGTAGTAATACATAGGATAATGCGTTGATACATGTTTTGTTGTAAGAATTCAATTCAATCTGCACAGCAGTTAACTCAAATCTTCCTTCAGTGTGCAACAGCAGACCCTGATGGTCGTAAACGGGCCCTTGTGGTGGGTGGTGGTATAGCAAACTTCACAGATGTTGCTGCTACATTTAATGGCATAATTCGAGCTTTGAAGGAGAAGGTATAGTCAAGACCAAGTCCTTTATCATGGTTGCTTGTATCATTAAATCCCCTGTGAATCCAACCAAAAGCTCTTTGTGCAGGAAACAAAACTCAAGGCTGCAAGAGTCAGTATCTTTGTACGTAGAGGTGGTCCAAACTACCAACGGGGTCTCGCTAAGATGAGAGCCCTTGGAGAGGAAATTGGCATCCCCATCGAGGTACCAATACAAAACTGGTCATCTACTCATCTTATAAGTTATTGCTTGTTGGGTTGTTTTGGGGGGAAAGCACTTCTGCGGAAAAATATACTCGTACTCATCTTCCAGGAGTCTAATATTTGCTCCCAACCCCTTAAAGTCACCTCCTCTAGAAATGATTCCCCCAGTTTTCAGTAAAATAAGAATATCTGGAACCGTTATGAAATGACACAGTTTTGTTATTGTCCAACACTGTTCACATGCTATCTTCAACAATGCAGAGTAGTAATCTTTTAATGCATGTATCGTTGTTCAGGTCTATGGCCCGGAGGCCACCATGACTGGCATTTGCAAACAGGCAATTGAGTGCATCACTGCAGCTGCTTAAATCAGAGCCATTTGTGAGCTCTGATCATGAGCAAAGATTTCTTGTTTTCGTTTTAGTGATTTATGCGTATGGAATGTCTGCAAGAACAGTTTTATTCTGCTTGTTTGCCGTATCATTCATGTTATTCACAAAATCACATCTTGCCATAAATGAACCGATTGAATCACACCCAAGCGCTACTACTTTGTTGTTGTGGGTTGTGGTTGTTGTTTCTATGCTGATATGGCATACACCAATACACGGCAATCTAAAAAATATACTATCAAAATTATCTGTAAAAATCTTCTTGATTTCTACTCTATTATTGGAATCTCACACAAGTGTTACTTTATTACTTTTTATTTAAAATATAATGTCTCCTGTAACCACTTATCTATTCTCCATATCTCGATCTATCAAAGGTGAGAGCTCCTCTAGAAGTCCCTCTTTCAAAGTTTTGTTAACTGGCTAGATTTTGACAAGAGTAATGGACCAAGCAAATAAATGGAATTGTCATTTGGGATTGTTGACTGAAACTCCAAATTAGAGAAAGAAATGGAGAAGGTAGTAGAGGAAAGAAGTGAAAGAAACAAATAGAGGTGGAATTAGGAATGGACCTGGGTCGGTCCAGTCCTGGCTCTAGGCTAAGACTGCGCGGTCCTTCCCAAAATTCTGAGAAGATCGGGTCTGATCCGGTTAGTTCAGGCTTGGGTTGGTTCCAGGTACCTTGTCGGTCCGGTCCCCGGTTTTGAATCCGACATGGGCTTGTAGAACGAGCCTCTAGGGCCATTTAATCGCGATGCGGGGGGGAATTTGGGAATGTGCAAGTCCATGTGGCGTCGTGTGGAAGTTAGGGACATCTAGCGGTCTCATTTCATCTTACTTTGCGTGAACAAGTAGAACGAGCCCCTAGGGCCATTCGAACGCGATAGTCAAGAGATGAGGGAATGTGAAACTGAAAAAGTCCAACTGAGCGAGTGACCACGACTGGATACCTCGGTGGCCTCATTTCATTTCGCTTGGCATGGGCAAGTAGAACGAGCCCCAGGGCCGTTCGAACGCGATAATCAAACAATCTTGAAATGTGAATCCGAAAAGTCCAACCGAGCGAACGGCCCGCGACTAGATACCTCAGTGGCCTTACTTCATTTCACTTGGCATGGGCTAGTAAAATGAGCCTCAAGGCTCGTTCGAATGTGATGGTCAGGCGATATGTGAATATGAAACCGAAAAGTCCAACTGAGCGAATGGCCCACGACGGATACCTTAGTGGCCTCATTTCACCTCACTTGGCATGGGTAAGTAGAACGAGTCCCTTAGGTTGTTCCAACTTGATGGTCGGGGGTGGGGGTGGAGAGTGAAAACAAATGAAAAACAAGTACTCTGAAAGCTAAGGACGAAATAGTGGAACGAATAAATGCTTTATTCTTCGACACTATCGGCCGTAAGATACATGGATAAAAGACATAAAACAAATTAAGGGTACAGAAGAAGAATCAGCAGGTGCAAAGGATTGATGAGGGCTTTGTTTACAATATACTAACGTACAAACATACAACTCATGAACAAATTTTACGTATAGAACATTCATGCATTAACACATATGAAGACATGCATATGTACTATTTGATAATCTATAGATATGATTAGGGGTGGCCCGGCCCGGAACCGGACCGGCCCGCTACTGTGCGGGCCCGAACCGGCCCGGTGAACCGGTTGGTTGGCCGGTTCGGGCCACCCGGTCCGGTGGGATCTCGGTTCGGGCTCGGGCCCTTCAAAAGGTTAACCGGCCCGGCCGATTCAGGCCCAGGCCGGGCCAATTTTTTTTTGATTTTTTTTAAGTTTTTGGGTTGGGCTGGGTATTTTGTGCCATTTGAGGTGGTTAGGGTTGGTTTGGGGGTGAGGGGGAGGGTTGGGAGTTAACTAGGAAAAGCCCAAAAAAACAAAAATATAACCGAGGCCCGACCCGACCCGGACCCGGGGGTTACCCGGGCCGGTTCCGGGCCTCCCATACCTTGACCCGAGGGCCGGCAGGTTCAAGGCCCGAACCGGGTCCGGCCCAAACCGAGTCCATCCCTAGATATGATGGAGGAAAAACCATCTCAAAGTTCACCATCGTTCATGCTAACTTCTTATAGAAGTAGTGTGAGGTGGTTACCTTTGAGTGGATTAAAAAACCTCCTAATTACATGGTCACGTACACCACTAAACACAACACATTCCTACGTAAATAAGACAATGTACATAAGTGAAATAAGGACAAAAATAATAAAATAAATAACAAGTTTATAGGTGCAACATTCACCCCCTTAAACTTTTTTGCCTCTTTTGATGTGTTCCACTCATAGTTTAGCTCGTAGTTCTGCAAACCTTTGCCTCTCAAGTGGTTTAGTTAATGAATCAACCAACTGCTCTTCAATCCTTGTGTGCTCAATGTCTATCACTCCTTCTTTAAGACACTGTCGAATGTAATGTAAACATGTGTCAATATGTTTACTTCTCTCATGATTTACTGGATTTTTAGCCAATGCTATAACAGACTTGTTGTCTATCTTCAACACTGGTCTGGTCTTGACTTTGCTTTGTAGACTTTCCAATAGCTTCACAAGCCAAATTACTTGACAAGCTCCCCCTCTAGCTGCTATATATCCTGCTTCACAAGATGACAAGGCCACTATTTTTTTTTGAGACACTCAAGTTATGGAGCTTCCTCCAAGAAAGAAGATGATCCCAGTATTACTTTTCCTGTCATCCACATCCCCTGCTAAATCACTGTCACAGTATCCTGTTAGAGCGTCACTTTCAATTCCACACTTATTTGCTGCTTCTTCATATTTCTATGGTTCCTCAATGGATAGGAAACATAGACTTACCTCCTCTGTGACTTCCCTGGTGGCATCATAGATCTCTTGTAGGGACCTGTAATCCATTGGTTCTTCAATTGAACTGGAATGAGTGTGTTATATGGGTGTATCTTGTGTTGTATCTTGAAGCATATGGTTGTCATTTTTACCCCCTCTTTCTGATGATTCAGACATGCTTCTTTCTCTGCTAGCCCTCAAATCCGACTTGCTTGTGTTTGCTTCAAAGATGTACTCCACTGGTTCCAGATCTTCTTTAGATTTGTTAGTCCATGTCCACTCTTTATCTTCCTCAAACATTACATCTATACTAATTATTACCTTCCCATGCATAGGATCTACCAGTCTATAGGCTTTTGACCCTTTCTCATAGCCAAGCAAGACTCCTTTAACACTTCTGTCTTCCAGTTTGTGTGGATGAGGTGTTACATCCTTGATGTGAGCCAAACAACAAAAAACACGAAGATGATTAACATTTGGAACTATGTTGTACCAAGCTTGGTAGGGTGTTTTACTATCCAGGCTTCTGGTCATTGATCTGTTCAATATATACACGTACTGCTGTATTTATTGCTTCCCCCAATACCTTCCTGGCATTGATTTGATTTTCATCATACTTCACCATTTCCATGATTGTTTGGTTTCTTCTTTCCACCACTCCATTCTGGTGTGGGGTGTAGGGTGCAGTTAGGTGCCCTTTTACTCCTTGTTCACAAAAACTCTTGAACTCAAGTGATGTAAACTCCCCTCCTTTATCTGTCCTTAAGCATTTTAATTTTGAGACTGCATCAGCTTCCATCTTAAGTTTGAGTCTTTTGAAATGTTCAAAAGCCTCTCCTTTATGCTTCAACAAAGATATCCACATAAACCTGGAGTAGTCATCTACAAGAAGCATAAAGTAATTCTTTCCTCCTGGTGTAGATGGTTTAATGGGTCCAGACAGATCACCATGAACCAACTCAAGCTTCTTTTGTGCTCTAAAGATTGCCTTCTGAGGAAAAGGAGTCCTATGTTGTTTGCCTACCATACACCCCTCACAGATTTGATTGACTTCACAATGCTTTACTAGACATCTTATTTAATGCCTAAAAATTTAAATGTCCATACCTAGCATGCCAGAGCCAGTCAGTGCTTGTCATTTTGGTTAACAAGCATATCTTCTGAGCTGTCTTCAGATGTACCATGAATAACTTGTTCTTCTTCCTATCAACTTTGAAAATGAGCTTCTTGTGCTTGTCAAGCACACCTAGTATGCCATCTTTAAGAATAACTTGACCTCCTGATTCATCTAATTGCCCAAGGCTTATGATGTTACTTCTGAGTTTAGGAATGTAATACACATTAAGTAACATCATATGCTCTCATGTCTTGCTCTGAAACAATAATGTCCCTTGTCTTTCTATGTTGGCCATTGAATTATCCCCAAATTTCACTTTTCCTTGAACTGAGGTGTCAAAGTCAGTAAAGTGTTGCTAGACTCCTATCATGTGATTGCTGGCCCCTGTGTCTAGATACCACCATGAAGTTAAATCTCCCTTGTTCTCCTCAATACAGAGTGAAACACTGTGATGTAATGCCTGTGACTTTGTCAGTTCACATGTCTCTATCATTAGCACTGATGGTTCTTCCTCCTCTTCTTTCTCAATGATATTGTTTTCTTCTTCCTTCTCACCTTGTGTGCATTCTGAGGCAAAATGACCCATTTTCTCACTGTTGAAACACTTTATTTTAGATTTATCAAATTTCCTCTTTTGGTGTGGCTGATCATTTCCATTTTGGGTCCTTCCATTTCCTCTGCCTCTGCCATGTCCTCTTCTCCTTCCTCTGAAGTTGTTAGTAACATTGGTTTGTGATGTTGTTTCATCCCTTGCTTTCCACTCAGCCCTTGTGAGTAGTACAATTTCTTCATTTGCACCATTTTGTCCCTGCAGTCTCTCTTCATGTGCTTTAAGAGAGCCTATTACTTCATCTGAGGTTTTGACTTTGAGATCACAGAATTCTTCTATAGTAGATGCAATTTGAAGAAACTTAGGGGATACTGCTCTTAGAAGTTTCTTTACTACCTTTTCTTCTTCAATTACATTCCCAAGACCCCTAAGCTTACTCACAATGATTGCAGCTTCCTGTGAAGTCATCAACACTATCAGTGTCATTCATTTGTAATCCATCAAATTCTCTTTGCAATGATTGTGTGCGAACTTCCTTAACTCTTTCTGCACCCAAGTTCATTGTACTAAGCATCTTTCATGCTTCTTTCGCTGTTCTTTTGGCTCCTAATTGTAAAAAGGTATCCTCTCCTATACCTTGGTAAATTGCAGTCAGTGCCATCTTGTCTTTTCTTCTGTCAACTGGCTCCTCGGATTCCACAACATCCCATACTCCTTGGGCCATCATAAATACTTCCATTTTGATGGCCCATGTTGCATAGGATACTTCAACATAACGGTTCCTTCTTTGCTTTGGTATCTTGGGGTTTCAACTTCATCTTTATCAAAGATACCATGTGTATCTCCAATACCTTCACTTGTGGA